TCGATCCTTAATCCCTTTAGGAATTACCAAAGTTGAATACTAGTGTGCCTAGGAGATCTGGACTTTTGGACATGTGTGTTTTGGGTCTGTCATCGGATCAAGAGTTGGGACGCAATGGGTTCGAGCCGGCATGCATCGCGGTTGAGTCAGGTTTTCTGGAGTTCTCGACTGGGGGGTCGAGAATTGCTCGGTGTCGAGCCTTGGTCGACGCTGGGTAGTGCTTTGCGCCGATCACCTGTTGGTCGGGGGGCCGACTTGGGTCGCCGATCACCGACCCCCTTTCTAGTTCGTGCCTTCTCTTGGCTCTTCCATGGTCTTCTCTCGCTTCGCTGGATCTCTCTTTCTTCCTATAACAAAATTTATCAAGGATCACGTCTGGAAACATCTACCATGGTAAAGAGGAAAGTTGATCTACATGGGGAGTGGTTATAAAGACTATGATCCAAGCAATCCAATCATACTCCATGAATTATTTCAAATGCAACTATACAATCAAGCCTTAATGCACTACTATTAGGGATTTTAATTAATTTTTTTTATATTCGTCAATGTCCGGATTACTGATAAACAATAAAAGGATATATTTAAATCTTTTTTTTTATTTATTTTTAGGTAGGGAACATAAGTTCTTCCATTCATCGGTACACTACGAGAAACAAAATTGTACTTTCTTTTATATTGGTCCATGGTCTGAACGAGTCGCACATCACCCTAGTACATGTTCCTCAATGATGAGGGTATCTCTGAAGAGCGGGCAATTTGGTGACGTTTCTGATTGGTTGTCTTGTGCTTTTAATAAGTTGTTTATTGACACGTTGAATTGTATACATAATGAATTGGTTTAGATTAATCCTAACTGGATGATTATGAATTACTTTTATATTCTATATTAATAGTATTAATAGTAATAGAAAATATTATATTTGAAGAAGATAAAATATCAAATTTGGAATTTTACAATGAAATCTCTGCTACTTTTTATTCAACCGCTACAAGATCAACAATTCAATTTTTTCCTACAAATAGTTAAGTGTATTTGGGTCTGGCCTGTTTGTATTGGACTTATGAAGTCTATAAATAAACCCATTTGTAATAGTAAAACGTAATGAATTCAAGTATCAATAAAAGCATTCATTATTTCTCTCAAAGAATCGCTTTTTCACTTTGTTATGGTATCAGAGCACGACGCAAGTTGGGAGATGATAATTTCTTCTTGAGGAACACAAATGGATCAACTACAATAAATAGTTAGTACACCCGCTGGAAAAAATAAGATCGATTAGTAATGTCTTGGCTTCTTGGTTCTATGGCAGAAGAAATACATGCAGAACTTCTTCACTGCACAACTACAAAAGAGATTTGGAAAAACTTCTTCACTGCACAACTACAAAAGAGATTTGGACAAATTTACATTAGATGTTTGCATCTGAAAATCTTGCAAAAGTCATGGTGTTAAGGACGAAGCTAGTGAATTCAAGAAAAGGTGCCTTGAATTTAAAAGAATACATGAGGCAAATATAGAACTTAGTAGATGCATTGAAAGGTGCTGAAAAAATAATACCAGTGGAAGATCACATTTTACATATTCTGGCAGGCCTTGGATAAGAATATGAGTCTACATTTTCAGTGATAATTGCCAGCCAGATATTACTATGCAAGAAGTCACATCTTTGCTATTATCACATGAGAGCAGAATGCTTAAAAAAACCGCACTAAAATCATCAAAGGATTTGACACTATCTACGACAAATCTTGTACATCATCAAAATAATGCTGTGAATCCTAATAACAACTCAAGAACACAGAATACTATACCTGCAGATAATAGCAGAGGCCAACATAATTCTGATGCAAATCACAGAGGTCAATACAGAGATAATAGAGGTGGAGGTCGACAGTGGTTTTCAAGAAACAAGAGTTTAGTGTTAGATTTGCCACAAATTCGGACATAATGCAGACAAGTGTTATTTTCATATGTCTAATAATTCATCCACTCGTCCAACATCTAATCCACAGAACACATATAATCAACCTCACATGACAGCCATGATGATGTCTTCAAACCTCAATGGGGATACCAATTGGTACCATGACTCGGGAGCTACAAATCATATCACTCATAATATGAGTAACCAAATATCAGCAGTGAAATTACTAATGGGCAACAAATACTGGTCAGGTATGCTTATAACCCAATCTGGTCAATCTTCTCTTGTTTCATCCTCAAATCATGTGTTTCATCTTCGTAATCAATTACATGTACCTACCATAACTAAAAACCTCCTAAGAGTTAGTCAATTTGCTAAAGAAAATTAAGTCTTTTTTTAGTTTCACCATTTTTCTGTTTTGTTAAGGACCAAACCACTGGTAATACTCTTCTCCAAAGGACTCTTCATGATGAATTATACTCTTTCCAGTTGAATGCATCTCCCTCAACGACTAGAGATAACTCTTTCATTCACCCAAGTGCCAATAATGTTTCAGATTGTTATTCCAAACAAGAACCTATTGTTCCAGCTGATTGTCCAAGATTGATATATGGCACACAAGATTAGGTCATCCTTCCCCTCTTGTAATTCAACAAGTTCTTAAACTTTTTGTAACCGTCAGTTGAATACAAATAAATATATTTCATTTTGTCATGCTTGTGCTATTGGGAAACATCATTCCCTTCCTTTTACCATTTTTCATACCACAAATATAGCTCATTTACAACTTATAGTTTCCGATTTATGGGGTCAAACATACAAAACATCCAGAAATTGATAAAAATATTACATTATGTTTATTTATGCGTACTCACAGTTCACATGGATCTACTTTCTAGAATCCAAAGGTCAAGTGTTCCTTGCCTTTTTAAAGTTTGAATCCCTAGTTGAAAATCTCCTAAACACAAATATCAAAATTTTTCAATCCGATGGGGAAGGGGAATTCAAACTCTTTACACCATTTCTCCAATCTCATGGAATTCAACATAGATTATCTTGTCCCTACACATCCCAACAAAATAGGATAGCCGAAAGAAAACACCACCATGTTGTTGATAATGGTCTAACTATGCTTTCTGACTCCTCTACGCCTCTTGAGTTTTGGGACGATGCATTCTCCACCACGGTCTATCTCATTAATCGTCTGTTAGACCACCAATTATTCATACTTATGCTAGGAGGGGTAGAATGGGTAACTGAGGGGTGGTCCACAGGAGAAGGGGTATTTTGGGAAGTTTATGTTTAAGTTAGTTAGTAGTACGGTTAGGGGAGGGAATAAAATGTATGTAACGGAGCCTCGGGATTGAGGTAGGTACTTTTTTGGTATTTTGTGTGTACGAATAGCTCTGTGCTATTGGGAGAAACCCAACCCTCTCGAATTAGCTGGTCTTGTAAGCCTAAGGGCAACTTTCTTTTGAATATCAAGGTTTAGTGAGGAAGATACCTCACAACTTGGTATTAGAGCGGTCATCCTGGGAAAGAAGTGAAGAATAGTGCAGACGAGATTGGAGGAACGTTGCAATGCCACGGAGAAAGAGGTGGTCGAGAGCGTGAAAAAGCAGGTTCAGGCGAACCAAAAGGTCTTGGAAAAGTTCATGGCAAAGATGGATGTGCGTCGAGGTTTATGGCTGAAGTCACTAGCGGAAATTCATCGATGACAGAGAAGACGACAGGAGAAGGCTCGTCGCTGAAAAGGAAGGCTACGGATGAGAGTACCCGAATCTTGGAAACGACCGAGACTGGAAGCGACCGGAGTAACTTTAAGAAGGTGGAGATGCCGATTTTCCTGGGTCCATATCCGGAGTCGTGGCTTTTTCGAACCGAAAGGTACTTTGAAAT